GAGAATTGTGGTAGTGCCTTGGCTGCATTGTTCTGTGAAAAAAGTACAAACAAACATTATGTCAAAGCCCTTGCAAAGTTATTTTGAAGGAGGACGGGGGTCTTAAGCTTCGCAACTAATTGATAATCCTCATCACTTGAAATCCCAATTACCTCTTTCCCCCCAGAAGCTGACATCAACTCTTTCAGTGCGTTTGTCGAGTAAAACTCAACATCTCATTTTGTGACCCTGAGTGCGGATGTCAAGTTTTCTTGTCATGATAAACAATCCCAGATTTCCTTTCGAAACTGCCTTCAATAGGGACTCTATGATCAAGAATTACTTCAGATACCCTCTGGGGTATCTGGAAAGCGTGACGAGCAGGATCTTTTGCCATTTTGTATATGAAGGCGGAGTATTATTGACAAATTCCTGTTACAATGTAGCTGTGTACGTCTAAAGGACATTTAAACATGGCGTCGAATGATAAATTTTCAATTGAGGAGTGCTTTGGAGAAGATTCTAGCCAACTTTTTGCCAAGAATATAACAGTTTTGGTTTATGAAGCAAGCGATTTCAATGACAGATTGAGTATTAAAGATGCGGATATTGCAAGACAATGATTACGACCTTCATGCTTGGGAAGGAAGCTATCAGATGGAGAACGAAATTACTGAAAGGATCAAAATGCAATGAATTTACACAATGAATATTTATGTTAGGCACAGCTCCTGAAAATCGTAATTAAATTGCTTAAACAGAACGAAAGATATTGTTGAATAGGATGCCTGTTTGATTCAACGCACTGTGAAAAAAATGCAGCACTGCAGGGGAGTAAGGTCAACAGAAAAGTCAGCACCGAAAGAGTTAAAATGTATATGATTCAAACAAACAAAGTCCTGGTAATTATACATCCCCGGTCTCTATTATCAAACAGATTATCAGATAAGGGATGTGAAAGACACTCCAGGCTACATGTGATTCTATAGTATGCATCAGTGTATAATAGGTAAAAAATGCCAAACAAACTTTGTGTTTTTACAGACGAAAACAACAAACATGGCAATGAAAAGACCAAAAAAGAAAGAAAAAAGAAAAGAAAGGGCCCAGAAGAAAAAAGAGATGCCAACAGACAACCTAAAACAAAAAGAAAAAAAAAAAACAAGAAAAGAAAATTAGATTGAAACGGAAAGACACAAAAGAAAGAGAAGAGGGCAAGGAGGATATAGAAGACAAAGAACAAAAAATTAGAGAAAAAGAAGAAGACAAAGAATGGGAAGAGAAAGATGAAAAGAAGGAAAAAGAGAAAAAAGACACTGAACAAAGTAAGAAACACAAGGAACAGGAGGAAAAAGTTGATGAGAAAGAAGATGTAGAACAGGAAGAAAAAATAGAGAATCGTAGAGAAACAACGGAAAAAGAACAACAAAAGACAGATCAAAA